TCAAACTAAAGACCCTTAATTCAAAAATCCAACATGTAGTCTACAGGGCCGTTAAATTTTTATCAGCCATTACATAACTATTCAGTAAAATCCCAAAGTTTAAAGATTTATTTATTATACTTGAAAACTAGTTTCCTTTTTAAATGTCAGTATTGAGATCTTGCCCAATCTAACTCACTTTCTTTTTATATATATCCTTTTACCTTCACATTTTGCCTTCCTCCAACAAGAGATTCCTTCATTATTATGATATACTATTTCACGGAAAAGATTTAACAATGTTATTGTTATTAGTTAAACTGTCAATCAAGAAAAGATTGGGCAATGCTTTTGGAAGAAGTTTGTAAACTGGTTTGTACTTTTCTTTAGCTAGAAATGCTTACTCTTGATCTTTTAATGATCCGGGTCTTAACGTTTTGAGAAATTTTTCTTTTTTTGCATTGAATAAAAATCTTTTGTTGTTGTCAACTTGTTTAAGACTTGTGGTTAAGAAAAATTATTTTCTGAAAAGCACTATAACATTGAAATTTTGGACATTAATTACTTTTGAGCTTTTTATTTTGGTATGATTAATCCTTTGAAATAGATTAAATTATATGCCAAATTCACTTCTATTCGACGAGATTGTTTTATTACGAATGTGTGAAATACTACTGTGTCCAAAATAAGACCAATTTTCAATTTAAAATTTCCGGAGCATTATGGAATTTTTTCTTTCTATTTTAGGTTTCTGGCATTGTCCTTGACATCTGTGTGAAATTTGACGTCCAAATATTCATTAGTGTTTGAGTTACGCTTGGCTTTGTGAGACGCTAAAACTGATTCCGGCAATTTTCAAAGATCTGATTTAATTGAGCAAAAGAACTTGCATTCAATTTTTGTTTACGGAAACGTATAGAATGTGCAGAAGGCATTCTGTCCAGCATTCCCATATCGGAAAGAAATGTTTATAATTGGTATAAACAGTTCAAAGAAGGCAGAGAACACGTTGAAGAAAAGAAGAACCTCTGGTCGACCATCAACCTCAATCGACAGAAGCTCACGTCCAAAAATTAAAGATTTGGTGCATGCAAACCAATTTACGATTAGAGACTTTGCTGATGATGTTGGAATTTCAAAAGGATCGGTCAATTCCATTTTGGGCTCAAACGCGTCAATCTCAATTGGTACCGAAAACATTGAATGCGCCGAAAACACTGCATTGATTCTTCATGAGGTTTTCGCCAAAAATGAAACCCATATCGTTCCACAACCCCGTATTCACACCGTGCGACTTCTGACTATTCCCCAAACTCAAGGATCACTCCGGGGACACCGTTTTGAGTCGATTGAAGAGATTCGGCGTGAATCTCTGCTAGCTTTTGAAGGCTATCCCGGCCGATGACTTTTAAGCATGCATTGAGGATTGGAAAAAAGTTGGCATCAGTGCATTGTGTCCGGAGGGGATTACTTTGAAGGCGATGAAAAATTTGGAAGTATAAGTAAAGAGTTTTGAAAAAAGTAATTGTTCTTACTTTTTGATCACAGTAGTAGATTAAATTAAATACAAAATTCATTTCTATTCGACGAGAGTGTATTATTACGAAAGGTGTGAAATAGATTAAATTCAATGCCAAATTCAGTTCTATTCGAAAAAAGAGTGCTTTATTACGAAAATGTGTGAAATAAATTAAATTCAATGCCAAATTCACTTCTACTCGACAAAAGTGTTTCATTACAAAGTCGAAGCTAAAATTAAAATTGTAATTATTTTAATTAAATTATTGCTAACATTAATTTTCTAAAATTATTATTAATTTTACTAAACTAAAAAAAATTCTTATACTTTTTTTTTTTCATCCTTTACACTTTTAACATATCGTCCTATGAGGTATATTTACTTCGTTGTCCACTTTACAATAAGAGCGTCTTCACTTCTGTATGTCAATGTTGGCCAACCAATAAAAAAAAAGTGTTACCACAAAAGAAGAATTGACATTTCAGACTCTAATTAAAAAGTTCCTTATATTAGCTAATATTCTATGTTCTTGGGAGTTTATCTTCCTCCTCGAATCCAACTATACAGATTTTCTGACCTACTGATCTAGAGAACCTGCCAATAATGTAAACATGGGAATTTTCGGTTGGTCTCTCTTGTCATAATAAATTTATTTAATTCTGTCAATAATAATTGAATAATAAATAATTTGTTAAATTTGCTTAACTGTCAATAATATTATCAATTTATTCTGTCATAAATTATTTTTTATTTTCCCTTCACATCTTAAAATTGTTTATAAAGCCATATTCAGTATGTAGACGATATTTTATAACTTTATATTGTCTGGTTTTAAAATATATTGCAGGAATGTAATGTCTTTAAATTCATAGAATATTAATATTGATTAGAAATTATGCTTGACTCGTGGCAAAGCGAGCTGGCTGTTTGTTGGTAGACACTGTTTAAAAAATCGAGGATATTCGATGGCTTTGTGTTGTTCAGCATCTTGCCTCGTAAGTCGGACTACCTGGTGGGAGTTTCCCGGGTCTTCTCACATAAGCAAATGCTGGTAGGTTGCTCTGAATATCCTCCCTGATGACACTGCCCTCCTTCTTCAGCGTCACGAAGCCATGTCAGACGTCAACCTGCGGGTGCTATCACAACAGAAGCTGTCTCCCCCTCCTTTCTTGGGGTTCTTGGACTTGGTCTAGATATTGTTGTCTACCAAGTGAGATAAGATATAAAAATGATGATATGAAGATATATAATAATATACTCTTTTTTAAAATAAAAACCTTCATTTCATTTTTAAAATGATAAATGGATTATGGCAAGCAAGTCCAATTGAAAATTCCCATGTTTACATTATTGATGGGCTCTCTAATGAGTAAGCCAGAAAGTCTGTATGACTGAGTTCGAGGATCACAGCGTATAGCCCAACTGTCGATGGAAGGCACTTCACACACGTCACAATCTCCATTGAGGTACCTTTATCTCTGAAAATAGTGACTGCAATGGACGCCACCAGTGAATTTAAACCCAGAACCATCCTGCATGCTAGCTACAAACGTTACCACTAAGCCATGAGTTGGGTTACTACTGCAAATTTAAAAGAAGATATCCATCTAAGGAGCTCGCACCTTCTTCCCCCTCTCCTCTGCACAGGGTAGGACATTCAGACTACTACTACTACATCACACCACTTCACTGAGCTTAGAGCGGAGTTGCCCCTTACATTTTTGGGAATGATGTGGGTGAAAAACTGATTGGACACTGTGACGCTCTACTGTCATATGAGACCGGGACCTACGGCTTAAAATGGATTTCGAACCACTACAAACATCCATGGCACCGCCGGGATTCGAACTGAAACCTGTGGTACTGAGCGCCAGAGCCCTAGTCACTCAGCCATCAGGGCCCCCACATTTTTTTGAATGCTAACGGCACGCGGTGTTCCCAGGTGGTCACAATCCCAAGTACTGATGATGTTTGACTGCGGTGATCGAACGAGAACGTATATATTCAGCATGGTATGGCCGTTGGGTGAACTTTCCAGACTACTGATTTATCATCGCATCTCCTGCATATCCATGAGAGCTGTCTGTTCGTTAATTCAATGCACTACTCTCTTCTCAAAACTCCGGCCATGCAAATTTTTTGACATATATAATTCTGTAGAATAAATGAATATTTCATCTAAACGGCTTTTCCCATAACATTAACCCTGGGGCCCATTGGAATTTTTGAGACGGCCCTGAAATATGAGCAGTATTGTTTTGAATGAAGAATTTGCATCCGTTCCTGTTCTGACGAATCAGGTCTTTCGATTTCGCTTTAATGATAATCTTTAAAGTTACCATTTTTATTTTCTCTTTTGTTGATCTACTTCAGAGGTAATTTTTCATTCAAGGCCATATGCACTAAGCGATTCGGTCCGGGGTGGTCCAAGCCCCAAGCGAAAACCAGGTTGTTAATTAACCAAATTATAAAATATCTGTCACGCACGTGGATCTCAGGCATTGCTCTTCCGAAGGGCACCTTAAATGCCCTCGGGGAAAAAAGAACAGGATACGGATTGTCCCAAGAATATTTTTCATCCATCATAATAACATGCAAATATTTAAGCGAGCAAATGCAACCTGAGTAATTGCATTTGCATTGGAGAACCGAAAACAAACAGTAGAGCTCGAATTCCACAACTGTGGCGATGGTCGTTACTGCAATGAGAATTCACAATTTCCACTTCTTCAAGTAAGATCTAATTAAACATACAGAATATCAAGATACAGAATGCATATCAAGGTTACAATAGGTTACAAGGTTACAGAATATCAAGGTTACAAGCTAGAATATTATCTCTTAACATTTTAGTTTCACTTTTTAAAACTGACTTGGTGGTAATGCCATCAAATGACAAAGACGATTGCAATATCAAATACTTCCCAGTTGGTGATCCTGTGATAACGTGCGAAGATAGCTTGCTGGGAGACTTAGGTTGGAATCCGTTGGCTGCATTGTTGTAGTCACTGCTTTCAAAAACAAGGGGATTCGATGGCGATTGTGATAATGGGTATAAAGCATCTTGTATTGATTGTCAGTCTGTTTGGTGAAGTTTTTTTTTGGATTTTCTTCCATACGACTCATAGTCGGAGCAGTTTCCATTAAAAAAGAAGGTACTCCACTAAAGCACTGTTTTCCTCTCTTCCATTGTCAGTGAGTTGTTCGTGGTTCACTAAAAATTGTTTTTAGTGGACATTTTAAATCTAATTTCTTATTACCTTTTACCTTAATTTCCTTAATTACCTTTTCAAACCTAAAAACGTAATTTCCACTAAAAAGTCTTTCACGAAAAACCATCGTCATCCATCGCATCCACACTCCTCATCCATCGTCAGTCAGCTGTTCGTGGTATACATGAGTGGAAAATGAGGCTCACCGATGTTAAAGAAAAAAAAATGGCGAAGCTTATCGAATTTTTGAACTGAACATTATGAATTCAAAGGCCAACGAACTGTTTGGAATCTATAAATCGGTGCAGTTGTATTGCTGTACCTTGGTCGCGAAACGACCAGACCTCCAAATGGCAGAACATACAATACAGTGGCAGTTGTCATGGTTGAAATAAAAACAAATTGCACAATAGGGGAAAAAAGAATAAACAAAATTACAATTACAAAAAAAAAAAAAAAAAAAAAAAATTCAAAGCAAAGTACAAGCAAAATAAAAAAAAAAACCTAAAGTACCTGCCGAAGCACATGTCATAGCACCCACGCAGGGCATTATCAATAAAAACAAACAAACGCGGAACGCGAACCTAATCAAGAGTTACCAGGACCAGAGATAGATGTTAAAAGAAAACAGTCTACTGATTAATGTTTAATACATGTCGAGGTCTTTTACGAAAACGTATGCAGAGAAATATCATATTCAATTTTAGTTCATGTAATTACAATTGTCTAAAAGGCTATTTAGTGTGAAATTTTTAGAAATTTTAGCCACATAATCCCGAAAACTAGGCATAGATAGAACAAATTTAATTTCTTATTTCGAAAGAAATCAGCATCAACAAATCGTATAACTTTGTTTTTCAATCTTTCCAGTGAAAATTGCTTTTAGCATAGAGCCCCAGACTGGACTCGCATATGCTATTATCGGACGAAGATAAGCTAAATAGATTAGTTTTTAGTTCAATTGTTAGTTTTGAATGCCTGCCTAAAACAGAATAAAATTTGTAATTGATTATTAAATTTATAGCGTAGGTAGTCAGTATGAGCTTTAAATGTTAGTCGTCTATCAAAAATTGCACCTAAAGACTTAGCTTCTTTAGACCAGGAAATTTTAGTATTAAAAATAGTTATGTTAGGTGGATTTAGACAGTTTTCCTGGTAAATAGCACTACTTCAGTTTTCGCGACATTAAGTTTAAATTTTCTAAAATTCAAGTGTGTTAATGTAGTTTTGTAAGTTTTTCTGGATAATGTAAGTGCCTCCCTGAGTAATAATTGCTGTATCATCAGCGTAAAATGTCAATTTAATTCTGTGGTCTTGTGGAATATCATTAGTGTAAATATTGTACAGGAAGGGTCCCAAGATCGATCCCTGAGGAACACCCGCAAGAATCTCGCAATTTTTTGAATCTATGTTTTGACAGAAACAATAAAATCCGCTCAGAAAGATAATTAAAAATAACTTTGATAATATATGGAGAATAATTATATTGAGCGAATATTTATAAATTAACCCCTTTATCCAAACCCTATCAAAAGGCTTTTGTTTGGAATCTATTGGCTGCATTGCTGTAGTTACTGCTGACTTATGACAATGTGTATAAAAGCATCTTGTGTTGATGGTCTATCAGCTTGGGGAGTTTACCGGATTTTCTCCCATACGAAGCAAATTCGGACCAAAATTACCAAATTCGGAGCAATTGCCATTAAAAAAAAAGACCGCCAAGATGGCAATGTCTTCCCCTCGTACCTCGTCAGTGAGCTGTTCGTGGTATGCATGAGTACCACCGCTGTTAAACAAAAAGTTCTGTCGCATCTTGCCGTATTTTCGAACCAAACACCATGAATTCTAAAAGGTCAATGAACTATTCATGTATCATATGCTTAAAGGGGTCTAAAAAGGATTTAGATATTGATATTCAAAGTTTTCAAATTTCTTTTATTTATTTCAACTCTGAAATCAGTACATTAATCTCACTGTCATTCTCTTCAGTGAAACAGTATACATGAGTAGAAAATGAGATCCACCGATGTTAAACAAAAAAAAAAAAAGTTCTATTTAAAAATCCTGTTTTCGAAGCTAACACCATGAATTCAAAGGTCAATGAACTATTCATGTATCCACTTATGCTTACCTCAAAGGGGTCTAAAAGGATTTAGATATTGATATTTAGTTTTCAGAATTTCTTTTATTTATTTCATCTCTGAAATCAGTACAGGAATCTCACTGTCATTCCTCTTCAGTGAGCTGTTTGCGGTATACATGGTAGAAAATGAGATCCACCGATGTTAAACAAAAAAAAAAAAAAAAAAAAAAAAGAGTTCTGTCGAAGCTTATCCTGTTTTTCGAAGCTAACATCATGAATTCAAGGGAATAGAAATATTTCTCAGACCTGTCCCACGCCTTAAAGAAATTTTAAAACTAATATTTACTTTTCAAATTTCTTTTAATTATTTCATTTCTGAAATCTGAAAAATAAAATTTAAATTTTACATAAAACTATAATTTAAAAAGATCTGCATGAAGTTTTCGTTTCATTTCGATATAAAAAAGAATTTTTGCCTGATATTTTTGTCATGCATTCAAGAAGTCGAAATCATTTTTTAAATAATTTTCAGTGTACAAATGGAATAGCATCATAGCTTGCTTCTAAAAATTTCTCTGAGCGAATATTTTATTAATATTGGCTCCATTGCCTCCATGAATACTGAATTGGCTCCATGAGACTGAACAAGGAGGAGTAGTGCCTTCCTGGAGGATATTTAGGGCGAACTACCCCTTAGTTGCGTATCGTATGGGAGGAACCCCGAAAAATTTTCAGCTGGTAGTTTGATTTCCAAGGCAAATGCTGAACATCCCAAACGCCATCGAGTCTCCTCGTTGTTTGAAACAGTGTCTACAACAAAGCCGCCAGCGGATTGAACCTCAGCCCTAATGCTCACTGCCAAGAGTCGGGCTTCTTTTATTCTAAATTTACTTACAAAAAATACGTATATCATATAAAAATAATAGTGCCGAATTAGCAGACATCAAAGTAATATAGAATAACTTAAGACAAACAAAAGAAAATTTACATTTTTAAACACAAAGATGCTATATTTGTAATTATTTAATTTTTTTCCCCTCTTAATAGTAGAATAGCTTCTATAATATTAATCTTAGATAGCTTTTATAAGCCACAGTGCTGAGAAAAGTTTCTCAACACTTACTCTGTCTGTTATTAAAACAATAACAGTCTTTGCTACTGGTTGTATTATTGAAGGATACAATGGAATAGTTTCCTTAACATTTTAATTTTAACATTAATTCCAAGAATTTTGGAAAAAAATACATTATTTTTATGAACGAAAAGTCGGGAGTCGGATTTTTAAACCGACTCCGACTTCCTAACTCTCCTTCTAAAAATAATTCTGAAGTCAAGTTCCTAGACCTCCGAGAAAATTATGCTTTTTTATACACTCATGTCCATAAATTAAGGATAATGAAGTTCAGGCAAAGAAAGAGACAGAATCAAAACAAATTTGACTTATTTGTAAAGTCTATTTATTAAACAAAAGGTAAAGAGCAAAAAAGATGCTATATGTTTGACATAATTTATAAAAATTGCGATTTTTACTCCCTGAGCAAATTTCAAAAAAGAACCAAGTTACAAAAAACAGTATAACATGGTTAGTATGATGGTTAATATGGAGTATGTCTCAAGGACGATGCAATACAGGCCTTACAACGCCTAGGCATGCTGAGTATCAAATTATCAATCTGATCTTGGGGAATATTACACCACTCATCAAGCAATGCCCTCCGAAGTTCCGA